TGGTATACTAACATTTAATGGGCTATAAAACTGCATACCTAGATTTTTTAATTCTGAAAAAAAGTTTGAAATTTTTATAAATCTCGTACAAAATTGGATATTTCGACTAACATACATGGATTTTGTTAGATACTAAACTATACTTTTATAATAAACATTAAATTAAATAAGAAAAAAAAAACAAAAATTGTTAAATTATCGCTTCTCTATTTATTTATATTTGGGAAAGGTATTTCACAAAACGGCTGGTTTTTGAACACAGAACACAAAGGTTTGAAATGTGATATACATATGTACATTAGACTGCATCTCCAAAAAAAGTTTCGGTTTTTCCGCCAGGATTACAAAATTGATTATATTTTAAGACTTCCACCAAAATATTTCCGAAAAATATTAAGATTTAAGTTTTTAAAAAGCTATATAAAAATATTAAAATTGTTTTTAACCGAATCATAAAAATGAGTTTTCGTTGCTGTTTTTTTTAAGTTTTTTCAAAGATTTGCTTAAGAAAAACTTGAAGAACTGGGTCAAAACTATACCGATATAGACTTTGTAAAAACACTCATTCACGTTCCAATTTTTTCTTTATCTAATGCCAATGAGGCCCGCTTGTCTTACCCCTCTCTTTTATGCTTCGATTGAGCTTACTTGCGAAGAAATACAAAGGGTGAGAAAATTTCTTTCCAATGATACCTCATAAGTCTAAATCGGTAAAGTTAAGGCTGAGTTATTCAAGTTTTTTTTTAACCGGTCTTTGAAATAAGTTCAAAAACAGCATCAAAAATCTCATTATTGCGATTCCGTTGAAAATTTTTTTTAATATTTTTCTTATGCAATTTTTTTAAGCTTAAACTTTTTTGTCACCTAAGGTGATTTTTTGCAAAAACTACTTAAAAAAACTGTTTATTCACAAAAAAATAAATTTTTGGAGATATTCCAAATCGGTCCAGCTCACGTAAACTTAATATTTTTCCGAAATATTTCGGTGAAAGTCTTAAAATATAATAGATTTTATAATTCCGGTGGAAAAACAGTACCGATTTTTTGTTTGTATGGGGAGTGATGCAGTCTAATGTACATACATAGACCATTCAAAGATAACATTTTACTACTTCATGGAATTTTTCTATTGAAATTAATTACACTTTTACCTAACGGCTATATCTGCGCCTCATAATCGTTTTGAAAATGCCACTCGAATGTATATATTAAAGGTCAACATCAACATCAACTTACCTGATACGTGCACGCTGTCCACCCGACAGTGATGCGCCACGTTCGCCCACAATCGTCTTGTCGCCATTGGCCAGCTGTTGGAAATCCGTAGTGAGTGCACAACACCTAGTCACCTCCTGATAGCGCTTGCGATCGTAAGTTTCGCCGAAGAGTATATTATTGCGTACAGTGCCGGTGAATAGCCATGGCTCCTGAGCGGCGTAAGAGAGTTCGCCTTGTATAACCACCTCGCCGTCTGTGATTGGCAATTCGGCCAGCAGCAGCTGTAGCAATGAGCTCTAGAAAACGTAAATATAAAATAAGTTTTAACACCATTCTTCCACTGAATTACAATCAAGTATTTAAACGTACCTTTCCCGCACCCACTGGCCCGATAACAGCACACAATTGTCCTCTCTTCATCTCCAAATTTATATTCTGCAATGTAAGCTGCGGTNTGATGCGCCACGTTCGCCCACAATCGTCTTGTCGCCATTGGCCAGCTGTTGGAAATCCGTAGTGAGTGCACAACACCTAGTCACCTCCTGATAGCGCTTGCGATCGTAAGTTTCGCCGAAGAGTATATTATTGCGTACAGTGCCGGTGAATAGCCATGGCTCCTGAGCGGCGTAAGAGAGTTCGCCTTGTATAACCACCTCGCCATCTGTGATTGGCAATTCGGCCAGCAGTAGCTGTAGTAACGAGCTCTAGAAAACGTAAATATATAAGTTTTAACACCATTCTTTCACTGAATTACAATCAAGTATTTAAACGCACCTTTCCCGCACCCACTGGCCCGATAACAGCACACAATTGTCCTCTCTTCATCTCCAAATTTATATTCTGCAATGTAAGCTGCGGCTTCGACAAATCCCAATTCGCATTCACTTGTTTGAGTACAATTGCTGTGGAGGCATCACGTTCATCTCCTTTAGGTTCGCCCTTCCTATGTGTCAGCCCGTTCACCTTCTCATCGTGTCCCTCTTGCAGTAGAAACGATTCAACACGCTTTAGCGATACTAATGCCTCGGCACCGAATGACACTGCGAGCGGATACCAAATAGCCGCAACCAATTGCAGTATATTGTAGTAACTTGCCGCTGAGAATACAATATCTGCTGAAATTTCACTGCCCATCAATACCGCCGATGCGATTGTGATGTAGAGTGTGGAACGTTCAGTGAACACCATCGTACTCAGGTAGAAGCCACGCAAATAGGAAGCATAACGAATTTGTTTGATCTCACGTCGGCGTGCTTCGCCCACCACAGCCTGGAATNACCTTTCCCGCACCCACTGGCCCGATAACAGCACACAATTGTCCTCTCTTCATCTCCAAATTTATATTCTGCAATGTAAGCTGCGGTTTCGACAAATCCCAATTCGCATTCACTTGTTTGAGTACAATTGCTGTGGAGGCATCACGTTCATCTCCTTTAGGTTCGCCCTTCCTATGTGTCAGCCCGTTCACCTTCTCATCGTGTCCCTCTTGCAGTAGAAACGATTCAACACGCTTTAGCGATACTAATGCCTCGGCACCGAATGACACTGCGAGCGGATACCAAATAGCCGCAACCAATTGCAGTATATTGTAGTAACTTGCCGCTGAGAATACAATATCTGCTGAAATTTTACTGCCCATCAATACCGCCGATGCGATTGTGATGTAGAGTGTGGAACGTTCAGTGAACACCATCGTACTTAGGTAGAAGCCACGCAAATAGGAAGCATAACGAATTTGTTTGATCTCACGTCGGCGTGCTTCGCCCACCACAGCCTGGAAGGGTTTCTCCCAGGCGTACATTTTAATCACTTGTATTCCTTGAACCAATT